CCTTGTCTCCATTCCTCTCAACTACTAGCTCACCTATCTATATCTGAGCTTGTCTGAGCTCAAAGCTGGACTCACTGGAACTCTGAACTTGCCTGAACTCTGTGGATTCCTGGAACCCTGGATCTGTGAGTTCCTGTGTGGATCGGAACCTCTGGTCAGGCTGCAGACTCCTGAATCTGGGAACTGTCCGGTTCTGATCTGTTTCCCTGACCTGGATCGGTCTCCTGCCTGCTCACTGGGGCTGCTGAATCAGGGACGCTTTGAGCGGCTCTGCACCGCATCTCGTTGACAGTCCATCGGCTGAACTGTTAAACCAGAGTGTCAGTGATTGGGTGGTGCCCTGCCCCCCCTGCAGCCAGTGCATGTCTACAGCTGCACTCGTTTTGTTTCTGTTCATTTTCTGTCATCAAAGGTTTCAAAACCTTCCCTTGAATACTGCGTCCATCTGTCCCGTTTTATGAAACATATAGCGAGTTAAAGTTATCATTGATCCATTAATTACACAAGGTGCGTTAATTACAGATTACAAAATGAATTCATTTTAGATCATATAAAATACGGCAAATTAAATTCTGTTATAATGGCTTCATTGGACATTAAGCTGCCTTATTGTGGACTGAATAATGCTGAACAGAAAGGACCTCATCGACCAAAGTGGGAGCTTTCCCAGCTGCTCCACTTCCTCCATCAAACCCTGCACATGTTCTCACATCACCCTGACAACTTCTCGTTCCTCAGAGAACCTGAGCGCCCACATCCCTTCCCCGTTACAATCAGCCTCATTAGTTCAAACCGACTTTCCCTGCATGTGGATCAGACCAGAAAAGATTCCCTTATTTCTCTTAACCCATCTTTGTTTACATGGTTACCAAACCATCTTTATGGCTTCTAAGTTCATCTTTTTGCCATTTTAGATTTTCAGTTATGATGTAAAAGCAGTTGAGAAGAAACATAATGTAGGAACCAGACGGAAGAATATATAGCAATACAGTATAAGGAGCCAAACTTTCATGTCAGTGATGCTCCAGAAAGTGTAAAAAAGGAGGTGCGCCCTAAAACAAGAGGAACCCTTCAGTCTTTGTTTCTATTTGCTGGCACTACTCCCTCTAGTGGCATGAGTGCAAATAGATCAAAATAGATAAAGGTGTCTAATACAGAATGATCCAGCATCCTTTATTTTGATTTTAATACAGATCTATAAACAGATAACGCTGCCAAATTTGCTAAATGAAGTTAGAAACTATTAGTTTTTGTAAACAAGCCAGAAGATCCAAGAATTTTCAAACTAGGGGAATTTATTTCTTTAAATTAGTTAATAAATTGAAATGAAGGAACAAAGAAGAAATCTGTGAGCAGCTTTGTTTCTTAATTCTCTCTCTTCATATCAGAGTGAAATATGCTCATTAAAATGGCCTCTATGCAAAATACATGAGATTTTTTTATCAGCAGCTTCATTTGCAGCTTTTTACATCCCAGTAATCAGCTTCTATCATGGGTGTTATACTCAGTGACTGATGCAGGGACTCCTCCCCCCTCAGGTAGGCTCACATCTCCATCAGATACCTCCTTCGCTCAGTCCACACCTGCTTCTTAGGGAGACACCATCTCTGTCTGGCTGATTAAGGTATGTCCTTTTCATTTAATACGTCTAAAAGAGCTCAGAAGTCTAGTTTGTGTTAAGAACCTCCATGGGAAATGAGAAGCAGTCTTGGTCCTGTGCATGCTGCAGTTAGTAAACTAACCCATCATCACTAAGGTCTGCAATCATCTTCTACCTAAAAGATGTGAATGCATCCATAAACCCCATTATTAATCTTCCCACTTGGGAATTAATATAAACATTTAGCTGTCAATAAAAAGTCTAATATTTTTAAATGTGTAAAACAGAAGCAGATTTATACTTCATGATGTTTATTTCTTTTACCTGTTATCTGCAGATAGATTTTCTGTTTCTGGAATCTAAATCCTTTTAATGCAGATTTGCTAGAATCTGTCGTTTCTTTTTTAAAATGACGCTGCAGGTTCCTTAAATAAACATCTTTGGTTTTGGGACAACGACGTGATTCCACTGGGACTTCCAGTCTGCAGCTTATTTACTGTGTGTCTTTTTTTAGGACCTGTGCTGAGATGCCCGAGTCTCCTCTCAGTCCCTCAGCAGCCCGTCAAACTCCAGCCAGGAGCCTCCTCAGCCACACAGGAGGAGGAGCAGGAGAGAAAGTCACTGATGGAGGCTCCTGCAGCGGATCGAGGGCACAAACCTGCCAGAGCCTCTTCAACAAACAGGTATCCTTCAGTCACAGCCTGGATAAAGCGAGGAGCCGTGGACCTCAGGCAGGAGTTCAGATGGAGAACAGATCAGATCTCCTGTTTGAACCTTAATTATCCAAGAAGCAGCAGAATTAATTAAATATCACTCAGCTTTAGGCTAAAAGAGCTGAAACTGTGAATCCAGCAGATGATAAACAGTCATTTCCACTTTTATTAATCATATTCTTCTATTTTTGAGGACTGTGGTTTCAAATGTTTATGATAAAACACAGAAATATTTTCATTGGTGAAAATCAGTGTTTAAAAATTGCAAAAAATAGAGAGAAAAACTTAGACTATATTAAATGAGAAGAACTCAAATTAGAGTTTTACAATTTAGCCGAATGAGATGAATCATCCACTTGATCAGGAAACTAAAACATGTTCAGTTGAAGATGAGATCTTCTTTATGTCTTATTTTCATCTCCTGGATATAAATGAGATCCAGACCAGACAGGTTTTCTCATTCCTCTCAAATGTCTCTCCTGAGAAATAAGGCAAATGGCCGTTTACCTGTCCTGCAGAGACCGGCTGCAGGAAGGAGCGCACCTTGATGCCGCGGCTCTGTGGAGGTTAAAGATGGAGTTTCACTTCCATTCAGATTTTATTCAGCTTTGGGGTTTTAACAACATTTTATGTGTCAGATGATAGAGAATCACAATTTAACAATCTCCTCATTTAATGGTTTTTAGCTGACAATTGTTTTTTTCCTTGATAGTGATTTTTAACTGACTTTGTTTTACATAAATAATTAATTCTATTGTTTGAATTGTGTAAATAAAGTTTTGTTAAAATCTAAAATCTCTCCTGAGAAATGAGTCTCCCAGTTGGCGCTACGCAAAGAATCTAAATTCTCATAAATCAGATCTCAGCTAAAAGAAAAATCTGACTTATTGTTCCGATTTCAGAAAGTCTTCATTTCACCTCCTTACTTGGATCCAGTGTCTCGGTTCTGTCTCTAATGGGATTAATGGGATTAACGGGATTAATGCGATGCAATCAGCTGGTTTTCCTTAGATAGAAAACTTTGAACCTTTGATCTGACTGGATGATCTGGTTGATCTGGATCTATAAAGTGGCCTGAGATGACATGATGTGAATTGGAGCAATAGAAATAAACTGAATAGAATTAAATTGATTACTTGCAAACAAACTTGGAATAAATTACACCAGTAGCTGTCAGATAAAATGGTAAATGTACATTTCTGTAGTTATTGACGTTTCTAATCTGGTTGAATTAGACAGATTTGATGGGCGGCCCAGAACATTATGTTTGATTATATTCAGCTTATTATTACATTTTCTGAGTTGATGCTGTTTGTAATCCAGCCGTATCCCGGCGGCAGATAATCCATCGGTTCTTTGTCCCTGAGTCAGATCAGTTATTATTCTGAGGGGGTTTGCCTGCGTTAACAACCATACACTCCTATCAGGGGCCACAACCAGCATGAAATTGTGGCACTAATTAGGTTTGATGCGTCTCGCATCTCGTTCAGGGTCAACAGCGCTGTCCAGCATCACAATGTTCAATCAGGCCTTTACAACCAGGTGGTGTAGTTGCAAAGTTTCCCTGGTTGATTCTCCTGACGTCTCGCTGCAGATTGTGACGTTTTCTTGTTTTCTTGAAGGTCTTTCTGGCCATGATGGCTCCTCAGCAGCTGCAGCAGCTTCTGTCGCCCAACCAGCTGCAGGCGATGATCCACCACAAGCAGCAGGTCCTGCTGCTGCAGCAGGTACGTCTGCACCAGAGATCTACCTGCTAACCCAGGTAAACCTGCTAACTACCCTAGTTAGCAGGTTTACCTGGGTTAACCCTAACCCTCTGAAGAGAGAGAACCCCTCACTCCAGGAACCGGATTAAAGATTTCATAATTAAATCTGAATTAAGTTTAATTTTAGCAAACTGAGATTTTTAACATAAAAATATCAGAAGGAGCTAAGAAATGTTTAATCTTTGTGAAGCTTTTCTTTTTATTCTGTTTTAAATAAATGTATAAAATAAATTATATGAAGACAGCAACAAGATTTTTTCAGAAGGGCAACAACTAAAGTCATCGAATAATCTAATGACTTATTTTTTTACTAAGTTCATTCAAAATAATAAAAAAATATAAGAATAAAAATAATAACATTATTGCACATTTTAAATAAATCTTTATATTTATAGAGAGATAGATAGATATGTGTATTTATATGTAAAGATTTTTCATTTTTAATCCTAAACAAAAAGATTTTGTAGATTTTTTCTAATTTCTCTAAATTCTCTAAGCAGGTTCTTCTCCAGGGAAAAGCTTTTCTAAAAGATAAATACACATTTTTAGTCTTTTTATTTTTGGGATGATTTGAAAAAACTTAAACAAACCTGAATAAAATGATCGGGTCATTAATATACTCTTTGTGTTTAAAATGAAATGAAATTAAAGACATTTTAAAGGACGGGAGCCAACAAGATATATAATAGAATAGACTGGATGATCTGGGGAAAAAGTGCCTTCAGATGACATGTGGCGCTTTAGAAATAAACTGGAAAGAATTTAATTAATTCTTTCTACCTTTTAGCAAAACCTGAAGGAATTTTACAAGCAGCAGCAGCAGCAGCAGCAACAGCAGCAGCAGCAGCAGCAGCAACAGCAACAGCAGAAGCAGCAGCAACAGCAGCAACAGCAGCAGCAACAGCAGCAGCAGCGACTTCATCAGCCGTCCAGCAGGAAAGTCAAAGAGGTAACGGCTTCATCATCTCCAACTCGTTATGCATGTAGACACGTCTGTTTATGTGTATTTATATTTATATATACGGCTAAATCCTGGAAGACTGAGGCTCCGTTCTGTTTACGTCTCCAAACAGTGAAGCAGTTAAGGATCATACAGAGTTAAGATTAGGGTAATGGTAAAGAGTCCAGCCTTAATCCTCAGAACTACAGATAAATGGAGAAAATAGCCACAATTTTCTTTCCTACTTGAGAGTATAATTCTTTTTTTTCCTATAAAATTCAAATAACTGAAAGATTGTTTGTTGTCATTTTTCTCCAAATGTTCTAATATGACATGATTTTAGTTTTTTCTTATAGTTTCCTGCTTTAGGAGAAACAAGCTTGTTGGTTTAAAGAAAATCTGCCGATGCTGTAAATCGTCGTGTGAATTTTATCAGTTAGAAAACCAACATAGAAAACAGATATTAGAAAAGACAATGAGATGAAATGAGGGTTTGCTTATAAAAATGCTTAAACTCGTTCCTTATTACTATTTTCTATAAATATAATCTAAATTATGACATTTTTGCTGTTAATTCATAATGATTTTCTGTTTTGTTTGTAATTTTAATGTGTTTAATATAGAGAATCATATTATCATCATCTTTGCATAGAAATGTGTGGCAGAGCCTCATTTCTCCATTTCTACAACTGTTTTCTTTATTTTTATAAAGATTTGTTAATTAAACATTATAATTTGCTGATTAATATTTTAGAATTAAGGACATATATCAAATAGGATATTCATGTTTTATTTATGCTCAAATATTGAAAGTTTATTTTATTAATATCTAAACATGAATAATTTGCTCTTATTTTTGGGGTTAAAGCTGATGTGATTATTTATGTGAATCATTAGAAAGAAAGAAAATAAAGTTGCTTTACTGAAGCTGCAGCAGTTCTAATCTATGCAGAAAAGATCTATTCTTTATATATCATCTAATATAACTTATCATGTTAAAACATCTATTGTTATTAAAACGTTTAATTTTAAACCTTTTATTTGTTGCAGCTAATTAGATTGAATGAAAATCAGGAGATTTAATAAGCTACTGCCTGCTTTAACCAATCAGATGCTCCTAATATAATTATTACTCATTTCTATAAAATATTACTGAAACATTTAAACAAAAAGAATGAAACATTAATAAATGTTGAGCTGTTTATTGTGAGAAATGCTCTGACCTCCTTCTGAAGGAGGAGCAGCAAACTCTGACCTCCTATGTTTTGCTCCTGCAGCTTCCTGCTCAGCACCTCCTGCAGGAGCAGAAACCGTCTGAATCTTCAGGTTCCTCCTTTTTCTGCACATTTTCAGTCTTTTCTTTTCTCTCAGGCTTTTTTACTTTAAACTTTTTTTTATGATATTACACTTTTTTTAGTAATTAGAAATAAATTTGTTTGATTCCTGCAGAGATGCAGCAGTTATGGGAAGACATCAAATCTGCTCTTTCCATCAGTGGGCCGAAGATGAAGGAGAAACTAGGGAGCAGCGAGGAGCTGCATGATTCTCCTCTCAGATCTGATCGGTAAAATCTTTGTTCTGCTGAAACGATTCTGCCTTTTTGTGTCTTTAGCAGCATGTTTGCTTTAATTCCCTGCGGGCCGATTTATTTTCTCCTCTTTGTTTTTTTTCTACCAACTGAGGTGGATCACTGAGAAAATGTCCTGAATCAAAAGTACATGTTTTTCCGTTTATGTTGGGCTCCTTCCATCACCTCAGTCTGGGAGAAAACAAAGAAAGTTTTCTTTTAGGATTTCTGGTCTTTTGTCGCTTAGACTTTAATGTTTTTTCTGTTTTTCCTCCTGATCATCCAGCTGTGCTGCAAACGAGGATCAGGCTTCAGCAGACGTGCTCTTCAGTCACGGCGTGTGCAACTGGCCTGGTTGTGAATCAGTTTGTGAAAATGGCCGCCAGTTTTTCACGTGAGTTTGAATCGCGCCTCCAAACTAAGTTTGTCTGAGAGCCGAATGGAAGCGCAGAGAAAAGAAAACCAGATGAATGAAAAGGATTAGGATTATACAGGGGCCATTCTAGATAGGGGCTAGCAGGGGCCGACAGGGACCAACAGGGCCCTGAAGGGCCTACAGGGGCCAACAGGGACCAACAGGGCCCTGAAGGGCCTACAGGGGCC